GGAGTAGAGGTTTATCCATTGTCTCCTGTTTAGGATTGGGTTTTTGGTTACTTTTAAATTCTACTTTAACTCTATACTTCTAACGTCTCCGCCTAAACTAAGAAATATATTATTAGTGGGTTTCCAGTTTCTGAAGTTTTTTCATTCTCTTACGCTTCCAGTAGACATTTGTCTCTTAGTGCTATTATTACTTTGCTTAGGGTGAATTGATTAACAAAAAAAATTTATTCTCTTTTATGCGAACGAGTGTTTTCTTTTCTTGACTGAAAATCATGATCCAAATTTTGTGGGAACTTTATTAAAATCCAGACGTAAAATAATCGCCTATCCTGTAAGTTCTACTCAAATAAACGAGGAACTTTCGTTAATTAGTTATTATATTAAAAAGAAAAGGAACATTAAAAAACGTGCAAGAATAAAACGGTAAACAATGAATTTGTAGAAATTTTTCATTTCAGCAAAACGGTTTCCTTTTCTATTGCTTCTAAAATCCTACTCTTTCACTTCCAGTAGCCCCTTGCGTCTTAGTCGCATTATCACCTTGCTTGGGGTGAATTGATTAGAAAAATAAATGCTTGTCTAACTAAATATACAAGCCTTAAAAGTATATCGTTATTAATATTAAAGGAGACTTTGTTTTATAAGGGGTAAAAATACATTTACAGTTTGTTTTTTTATTGTCTAGATTTTCGGAATCAGAAAATAAGAAGTGGAAAATACAGATGCGCGCTTTATTGGATGTTCTTCCGGAATTAGAAACACCCGAGCATGAAAAATACAGCCATTCGTGTAAGTACAGGTTCAAGGAAAATGAAATATACACCTACTTCTCTCTACGCGTCTTCTCCGTTTAGTACGTGGCTCTTCACAGCTTTCTTTATTTTATTGTTCTCAGCACTGATTTCTCCTTTATAAACACTTTTTCGTCCCTCAATTTGCACAAATTTAACCATAATGCGACTCGGTGTTTCCCCCAGCTTGTTTTTCCTTCGATGTGTGTTAGATTCTCTAAGTTTTCTTTCCTCATTATATATATATATATATATATATATATATATATATATATATATATATATATATATATATATATATATATATATATATTATGCCTTTAAATTCCTTGAGGAATATAGGGCCGCAAAATGTCGTTGCGGTTTCTATAACAAGCCAATTTTTAAGTGAGTAGGTTGTTAGCCTACTGCACAACCCCCAATCTGGAGAATCAGATTTTGAATTCAAAGTTGTTTTTCTCTTAGACCAGTTTCCACCCAAGGCTATAGAACCCAGTTTGTCCTGCTATTTACCCATAGCTGCGGGATAGGTTCTTGCTATACAGAAAACATGAATGATCTATAGCCTTGTGATGGCAACTGGCCTAACGCGAAAGAAATGGCAACCTACTGCAGGAAAAACTGCCTCGTCAGTCATGTATCGAAAGATACCTGATGCCCTAAGCGTGTATCACGCATGGCACATAACTGACTGAACCTAGGGATTAAATTTTAGATCAGTTTTATGCCCCCTCTCAATGCAATTACATTTTCTTCTCTGCTTGCATTAAATATTTCCCTTGATGAAGAATTCCTTGACAACTGGTATTCACTTCACTTTGGGAATTTTTTGGGGATTTAGGATTTTATTTTATTCGGTTAGTTGACCTTGGTGTTTACGTATTTTAGCACTGAATTTGATTTCATGTGCAGTGAGACTGTACCTTCCAATAGATTGAATTCCCTGTCTAAAAGTTGAATAATTTCTATATTCATCTCAACGGTAATTTCAAAGTTCAGGCTTTTAAACAGATTAAACAGTTTTTTTCCTAATTATATCGTTAGCTCTTTTATTTTCAGGCTCTATAATCATCCCCTCGTCTTTGTAGATGTCATGGTTATCTCCCTGAACAAATCTTGTTGATATTACTTAATATATAGAGACCTATTAACTCAGAAATTTCTGCCCCATCATAACCCCCGTGGGCGACATCAAATGTACATTTATTTGAGTTTTTTAATCATGCTTCTCCGTTATAGATGAAAACAGACTTACGACAATGAAGTATTATTTCCATCTGCTCTGATGAAATATCCACAAAACTTTTAGCATTATGTAATGCTTCCAACAATCCTTGCTTCGAAAAGGATGGATAGAAGTTTTTAGTATTGTATTTTATGAATATTTGTTGTATTTTTGTATTCCATAGTATTAAACCAGGAAATACGCTTATGCGTTCTCTGACATTGGTTTATCTGTGTAACCATTCTCAACAGGTCGCATGTGTTTATTCCATTTTTGCTGGCTTTATAAGGTGGAATGTAGAACAGCTGCGAAAATCTTTGGCTTTTGACAGTCAGAAAAACCTGTTTTTCACATATGGTCTGGATGTTCACTGATTTCTATTTTGTCTGTAATAGGGCAAAAAAGGATTTACGTGGGATGCACCGAAGGGCCCTTCAAAAAAAGATGGTACAATCATGTCTCTTCATTCAAACTACAAAACCATAAGTATGACACGAAACTTGCTGATAACGTCTGGAAATTGAAAGAAAAAAAATTGAAGTCCAGACGTAAGGTGATGTATAGTGAAAAAAAAAAGTGAAACCAGTGCGAACTAGATAAAGCAGCTGTTGATTGTGCCAAGAGGAAAAGTTGACAATCGTAACACACCCGGACAGAAAACAATTACTAAAAGAATGATTAGAAATAATGTCAAAGTGTAGAGATGAATAAGTACATGCTTGGCATTTACGAACACGATAAAAATAATTTTCCACGTACCCACTTCCCTTCCATCAAACTTCCGGTGAAAAAAGAATAACGAGGCGCTAGAAAACTAAATATACTCCACCACTTGATGATGCCTAACGGTACAAACGTAGGGAGTGATTAAGGGTATATATATATATATATATATATATATATATATATATATATTAAGACATTTTAGGTTTATACATTCTTTTTATAAAATGTCTTAAAATAATTGTCGGACTTTGTCCATTTCATAATGTGTAACGTCATTTGTTTACATTTGGATACGATTTGTGCAGATATGAATGTTCGTGAGAGATTCATGGAAGATTGAAGTTTAAAGGCAGTAAAATCGACCTTGCTAACCGAACGCTCCTCTGTGGCCAAATCGGTTAAGGCACGTCAGGCTATATGACGGTTACGTATAGGATACGACTTCGATTCCTGTCGGAGGACGAATATTTTCTATGAAAATTTCTCGGACATTCAGGCCGGTAAATGCTATTAATACATTTAATTATTGCATTTACTTAAATATTTGTATCTATAAAAAGAATGTATAAACACAAAAAATGTCTTAAAATAATTGTCGGACTTTGTCCATTTCAATAATATATATATATATATATATATATATATATATATATATATATATATATATATGTCTACACCGATCTTAGGGTTAAAACTCAAAGAATTCTCACTATGTCTTTTCCAGCAATTTGTGTAAAACGCTTTGCAAAAAAATGTCCGTAATTCTTTGAAGCTTTCATTTTCAGCCTTTTAGGCCATATTCACACTCCATTTGCTATCACAGGATTCTTCAGTTCTCCTTTCGTCTTAAAATTGTTTTGCATATGACTGAAATCTTACACCAACTTTTCGGCTGATTAAAATCCCTCCTGTTTTTTTTTCCTTTTCTTGGAGCTAACTGTATCCTATTTGATAAATACTTCTTAATTTTTTAAAATACTTCTTTTTTCCTTTCTTTTCCAGTGTCGCACGCTGTACTAACATCTGCGTATTCTGTACCCGCAACAACTGCTACAGACGACCGTTTTGTGTGTGTTGTGCGCAACGTTGCAAATATGGCTGACAATCTCCAATCTTGGGCTGCCCAGAATTATTTCGATATCACTGCCGACGGCAACGGTATACATCGAGGACTTAAACAAAAAATGAAAGAACTCAGAAACAATTTCATCAAGTCAAAGGTATGGAATCTTTGTCAATGTCATACATTACGTATATCTGCATCGTGTGTACACATTCATTCTTTGTGTACGTGTATGTAAGTGTTCATCAGATTCCCTGCATACCTGGATATAAATATTGACACTACTCAGAATATTCTAGATCAAAACTAAGTGGGAAATCTTCGGTTTAAAAGTCTACAGCGTAGAGAACTACAGTAATATTGTCCCTTATAAGGCTCAAACACTCTTCTCTAGCAAACTAGTTTCAATACAAATTTGAAAACTATAACACTAATCTAGCCTTCAGTGTGTTTGTATGCGTGTCCAATGAGATTAAAATTAAATTTAAACCTACCGTAAATTGTAGCGTATAAGTCGACCTCAAGTTCTTTAGCTAAAAATTCTGAGTTAGGCCTATATCTACCGTATAGGTCGATTTCCAACTCTATATATTCAATAAACTGTCATCATGTGTCATTAAACTGTCATAACTATCATGAAACAGCGCGCATAACACGCATACCACATCTAGTTGTGTGAATGTCCGCCTCAGTTAAACGGCGCTTCGGTCAGTGTTTACACTTAGTGTATCAGCAGTTTGACGCGATGTGTGATATAGCGTTAATAGAATACAGAATTTGTGTTACTATTTTATTATTTTATATTAATTTCTGTGTTAATATGCCGAATATGTTAACCAAATATAAGTCTTCGTGCGATATATTTTTGGTAGCCTGCTGGACGTACGGTAAGTGATGTACAGTAATTGTTAGGAATGATACCCCACTTAGTTACAAACTCATACCCGCCAAAAAATCTACCCCGAGCTTTGGAAATATGTTTTTAGGCTTGAAAAATCGAGTTGTACGCCGCAATTTATGGTATGTTCAATTTAAGGATTGCTGAATATATACATGTGTGTGTGTGTGTGTGTTGGAATCTCTTCTTCCAGCTGTAGTAGAGCGATATGCCTGATTGCAACAGGCGCCTCTTTGACTCTGCATGTAATGAGTTCAAGCGAAGTTCAAAGAAGAGAAATTACTGTTTGCTGATAGAATGAAACAGTGTATAGCCTTTCTGTCTATCTATCTATCTATCTATCTATCTATCTATCTATCTATCTATCTATCTATCTCAGTCCGCTGCTGCCCGTCTGTCTTTCTGTGTGTCTATTTATCTATGTGATTAACAGAACAGTGATGAGGAAAGTAGTAAAAATATAAACTTTACAAAGAGCTACAAGAAGATGTGGATGGCCACGTTCACCCATGTCTCGAATGGGCACAGTACTTGGATGAATTTCCTGTAACCTCATTCGAAATTTTTAAAAAACCCAAAAAACTTGGAAATTTACCTTTATTTCAGTATTTTGTACGGGGGAAAATGTCAGCCCCTAAATCAAAAATCTATTTTTGTACGTGTAACTTTATATTTAATATGCATTTTTCATAATAGAATCCACTAAAATCACTCACAAATGTTTAATAGTTTAATATCTTTGTTTATTGCTTAGAATAAATCAGATATACATTTTATCTTTCTTTCTGCAGACAGCATGCAATCCCTGCATTATTTTCAATACATGTTCTGTGCACTGGTTACTGTTTGCTATCTTGACTCTGGATAGTTCTTAACTTTCAGACGGTCACCAATGAGTTTAATTTTTTTTTTAATAAGATTTTAGTATTTCTGATAAAGCGAAGTTAACTGTTTGTTGATAGAATGAAACAACGTATAGCCTCTCACAAATTCGGTTCTAGAGATTATCGGCGGCTCTGCAAGAGTGTGCTGAACAACAGCAAATCAGTAATTCCTTCTCTCCTGACATCTACAACAGATAAGGTTGAGTGCTTTGCTAGGAAGTTCTCTTCCAACTCTACACTCGACTCATCGCGTTTACCCACACTTGATCCCCCCCCTTTAAAACGGAGGCTCTACTGGATGATATGCGCATAATCCCGTCACTGGCTTCAGACATCATTTTCAAACTAGACTCCCACAATGCAAGTGGATGTGAAAGAAATCCGAGCCGTCGTTCTAAAGAAATCAGCTCCCAAGATGGCCTCAGTATTCTCCAAACTCTACAACAATTGCCTCACTGATTTTTGCTTCCTAGCTTGTTGGAAGCCCTCCTCTGTAGTTCCTGTTTTTAAGAATTCTGGATTCTTTGACCCCTAAAATTATCGCCCTATTAGTCTCTTACCGCTTTTTGGCAAAGTATCCGAGGCTCTAATCAATGGTGAATTGGTTAAGCGTCTTACTTCTCACGACTTCCTACGGAAATACAATATGACTTCCTTTTCGCCAGGACTACCGCTGATGTGTCAACGACCATCACTGAATTTCTATATCAAGCTCTGGATAAGAACTGTGGCTCTAGATATCTCAAAGGCATCTGACAGAGTTTGGTATGCTTGTTGGTAGTACTCATCTGTAGTTACTTTTATTAAGAACTTTAGATAACTCTTTGACCCTTCAGATTATTGCCTTATTCGTCTCTTACCACTTTTCGGCAAAGTATTCGCGGTTTTAATCAATGGTGAAGTGGTTAAGCATCTTCTCACGACCTCCTCTTGGACAAACAATGTAGCTTCCGCTTCGCCAGGTCTACCGCTGATGTATTAATGGCCATCACTGTACATGTATATCAAACTCTTGATGATAATGGCAAAGCTTGATTTTTGGCTCTAGATATCTCAAAAGCATTTGAAAGGGTTTAGCACTCTGGTCTTCTACGCAAGCTCCAGGGCTACAGTATCAGAAGACGAATGCTTGTTTAATCCAATCATTCCTATCATATTGTGAAATGAAGGTCGTTTTGAATGGGTTCACTTCCAGGTTCTTTCACACGGACGCAGGTGACCCTCAAGGCTCTATACTGAGTCCTACGCTGTTTCTGATCTTCATCAATGATCTTCCTGATGTTATCAATTTCCACGTAGTTATTTATGCAGATGACACTACTATTTACACCTGTCTTAGTAGTAAATCCGTCAGAGCTGTCAAAGTAAACTTGGCTGCTGCTCTTGAAAAGGACCACCAATCAGTGGTAAACTGGGACAGGAAATGACACATAAATTTCGATGCCGCCAAAATGAAACTACTCTCATTTAACCACCATAGGGAAACTTCCCTGTCCGTCATCAGCATGGCTGACACTAGACTCTTGGAAAGCAACACACTGCGCCTTCTTGACCTCACGTTTTCAACTGGCTTGAAGTGGAGAGACTACGTTGAATCAATAGCTGCATCTACTGTAAGGAAATTTGGTTCACTGGGTCGTGCCAGAAGATTTTTCTCGTCAGAATCCACCTTGCACATTTATAAATCAACCATTCATCCGTGTATTGAATATTCTTGTCATATCTGGTCCGTTTATCCTCGAGATTCTTGACAAAATCCAAAGAAGTATCTGCAATATAATCGATCTTGACCAGGCAACTCAGCTTCGGTCTCTTTCTCACCGACGTAATATGGCTTCCCTCTGTCTTTTCTACAAATATTTTCATGGCAACTACTCTGACGAGATTTTTCCCTGAAGCGTGCTACTAGATTGGCGTCTAGGTCCCATTCTTTTACTGTTGAAATAGTTCAATGTAATCGCCACTTCTACTTCAACAGTTTCTTTTCTCGCACTTCCCTTTCGTGTACCTGTTTTCCCGAAGACTACAATCTTCAAAAATTTAAATGGAACGTCAATCGCCATCTTCTGTCTTCCTGAATCCCGTTCATCATTTGTCCTTTCCTCAATCCTCTCTATTCTAAAGGTTCTCTTTCACTTTCAGTCGCTTTAACGCCCTTAGTACTAGTGGCATTTCCGCATTGCTTGGGGTGATATGATTAAAAAAAAAGTAACTGGTCCGTGATTAGAATACCTACGAAGTCTAGTGGGGGTATAAATGATTTTATCTCAGACTGAAGGGGCTGGTGTTTTCTGACCTGCAGTAAAGTCTAGAATGAGATATTCAAAAGCAAACACTGGCTGTCCAGGAGTAGGTAAAAGGAAATAGAGTAAGCAAATAAATAAGTAAATGAAAACCTTCTGGATCAAGTGTCACTGGGCCATAAAGGGAGAGAACTTCGGGCGTAATCTAATATGAGCAGTCCCAGATAGTTACGATCCGATCCGATGAGATGTAGCGAGGCAAAAGCAGAGAAATCAGCGAATCGTGTTATTGACATAGAGTGAGGGACAGTAAGAGAGAGTCGACAGTCAACGTGACAGAACAGAGAGAAATGTATAGTCGGAGAGTGAAAACAGCTACTGGGCTTGAGAAGAGAAAATAATGACATAATCAAGATGTTGACATTCCACACTACTTCAAATAAAAGGTTAGGAAGGAAACCTCCATCAATACTGGAAAGAGTGATAACAGCTACTGGGCTTGAGAAGAGAAAATAATGACATAATCAAGATGTTGACATTCCACACTACTTCAAATAAAAGGTTAGGAAGGAAACCTCCATCAATACTGGAAAGAGTGATAACAGCTACTGGGCTTGAGAAGAAAAAATAATGACATAATCAAGATGTTGACATTCCACACTACTTTAAATAAAAAAGTTAGGAAGGAAACCTCCATCAATACTGGAAAGAGTGATAACAGCTACTGGGCTTGAGAAGAGAAAATAATGACATAATCAAGATGTTGACATTCCGCACTACTTCAAATAAAAGGTTAGGAAGGAAACCTCCATCAATACTGGAAAGATTGATAACAGCTACTGGGCTTGAGAAGAGAAAATAATGACATAATCAAGATGTTGACATTCCGCACTACTTCAAATAAAAGGTTAGGAAGGAAACCTCCATCAATACTGGAAAGAGTGATAACAGCTACTGGGCTTGAGAAGAGAAAATAATGACATAATCAAGATGTTGACATTCCACACTACTTCAAATAAAAGGTTAGGAAGGAAACCTCCATCAATTCAAATAAAGCCTTAAGAAGAAAACCCCTGTCAATAATCGAAACATCGATAACACGTACGGAATTTGAGAATCGTATTTTCCTGAAATATTGTTTTGAGAGAAAGACTCTATAAATTTCAACCAAAAGTAGTACTGGCAGATCGTTAATGCTGCATGTTTCCTTTTTAGGAAACGCTTGATATCACGATTACCATTAGAATTGTTTGTCAATTGATAAACTTATTTCTTGTTTTGTAGGTACCACCTGGTAATGTTGTGGAATTACAATTGGATTTACAAGAGGGTGTGGCTCCGTCTGTTAGGCAACGACAAGTTTCTCTCTATGTCAATCGGATGCAAGAGAAGTTGTACGATCAGATAGCGGCAGAGATTTCGAACGTGAAGAGCGAACCGGAAGAAAAGGTCTTACAGGAAGTTCTGCATCACGTGGCATTTTGTCAACAACGGTAAGAGATTATCGCAAAAGCATATCAATCTAAATCCACGCACAGTACACACACACAAACACACACACAAATAACACACACATCATCATCATCATCATCATCATGACTGGGTGTGATCTTAGGGTCGTTGTGCTGATATGCACCTGACCAGTTCCCTTCGTATATCTGGATTGAAATCTGGAGAGGTATTCACTCACCACACACACACACACACACGTATATACATATATATATATATATATATATATATATATATATATATACAGATAGATAGATAGATAGATAGATAGATAGAAGAAACCGAAAAGATAGAGTAAAACTCCACAGTCCCTAGCACCTACTTTTAAAGTGCTCAATACAAAGGAGAGCAAAATATAATATTTTTATTATAATAGATTATAATAAAAACATAACTTGCGATAAAAAAAAATTATTTATTTGGGAAATCGAAAAACAAATCGTTACTTCTTTTCGGAAGTTAATGTGGGCTTAAGGTCAGAACTAAAATTATACTTGTAGGTATGCCCAGATTAGCCAATCAAAAGTCAGATCTACGCTAACAAAAAAAAAGAGGAATAAGGTCAAAGGGTGGAGGTGGGTGGGTTATTTTTTCATGTCACGCAAAGATCATAGGTAACATGGCAGCGACAAATGTATTACAGATGTAGCCAAGTATTTTGTTCTGATTTGTTGAAGTAGACATAAAGTTATCACGAATTTTTTTTTAATTTACCAAATAAATCATTTTTTATCATAAG